ACCAGTATATGACAAGACCAGTGTATGACAAGACCAGTGTATGACAAGACCAGTATATGACAAGACCAGTGTATGACAAGACCAGTATATGACAAGACCAGTATATGACAAGACCAGTATATGACAAGACCAGTGTATGACAAGACCAGTGTATGACAAGACCAGTGTATGACAAGACCAGTGTATGACAAGACCAGTATATGACAAGACCAGTATATGACAAGACCAGTGTATGACAAGACCAGTATATGACAAGACCAGTGTATGACAAGACCAGTGTATGACAAGACCAGTGTATGACAAGACCAGTATATGACAAGACCAGTGTATGACAAGACCAGTGTATGACAAGACCAGTATATGACAAGACCAGTGTATGACAAGACCAGTATATGACAAGACCAGTATATGACAAGACCAGTATATGACAAGACCAGTGTATGACAAGACCAGTGTATGACAAGACCAGTGTATGACAAGACCAGTATATGACAAGACCAGTGTATGACAAGACCAGTGTATGACAAGACCAGTATATGACAAGACCAGTGTATGACAAGACCAGTATATGACAAGACCAGTATATGACAAGACCAGTATATGACAAGACCAGTGTATGACAAGACCAGTGTATGACAAGACCAGTATATGACAAGACCAGTGTATGACAAGACCAGTATATGACAAGACCAGTATATGACAAGACCAGTGTATGACAAGACCAGTATATGACAAGACCAGTGTATGACAAGACCAGTATATGACAAGACCAGTGTATGACAAGACCAGTGTATGACAAGACCAGTATATGACAAGACCAGTGTATGACAAGACCAGTGTATGACAAGACCAGTATATGACAAGACCAGTATATGACAAGACCAGTATATGACAAGACCAGTATATGACAAGACCAGTGTATGACAAGACCAGTGTATGACAAGACCAGTATATGACAAGACCAGTATATGACAAGACCAGTATATGACAAGACCAGTGTATGACAAGACCAGTATATGACAAGACCAGTATATGACAAGACCAGTGTATGACAAGACCAGTATATGACAAGACCAGTGTATGACAAGACCAGTATATGACAAGACCAGTATATGACAAGACCAGTGTATGACAAGACCAGTGTATGACAAGACCAGTATATGACAAGACCAGTGTATGACAAGACCAGTATATGACAAGACCAGTATATGACAAGACCAGTATATGACAAGACCAGTGTATGACAAGACCAGTGTATGACAAGACCAGTGTATGACAAGACCAGTATATGACAAGACCAGTGTATGACAAGACCAGTATATGACAAGACCAGTGTATGACAAGACCAGTGTATGACAAGACCAGTATATGACAAGACCAGTGTATGACAAGACCAGTGTATGACAAGACCAGTGTATGACAAGACCAGTATATGACAAGACCAGTGTATGACAAGACCAGTGTATGACAAGACCAGTATATGACAAGACCAGTGTATGACAAGACCAGTATATGACAAGACCAGTATATGACAAGACCAGTATATGACAAGACCAGTGTATGACAAGACCAGTGTATGACAAGACCAGTGTATGACAAGACCAGTGTATGACAAGACCAGTATATGACAAGACCAGTATATGACAAGACCAGTGTATGACAAGACCAGTATATGACAAGACCAGTGTATGACAAGACCAGTGTATGACAAGACCAGTGTATGACAAAGACCAGTATATGACAAGACCAGTGTATGACAAGACCAGTGTATGACAAGACCAGTATATGACAAGACCAGTGTATGACAAGACCAGTATATGACAAGACCAGTATATGACAAGACCAGTATATGACAAGACCAGTGTATGACAAGACCAGTGTATGACAAGACCAGTGTATGACAAGACCAGTGTATGACAAGACCAGTGTATGACAAGACCAGTATATGACAAGACCAGTGTATGACAAGACCAGTATATGACAAGACCAGTATATGACAAGACCAGTATATGACAAGACCAGTGTATGACAAGACCAGTGTATGACAAGACCAGTATATGACAAGACCAGTGTATGACAAGACCAGTATATGACAAGACCAGTATATGACAAGACCAGTGTATGACAAGACCAGTATATGACAAGACCAGTGTATGACAAGACCAGTATATGACAAGACCAGTGTATGACAAGACCAGTGTATGACAAGACCAGTATATGACAAGACCAGTGTATGACAAGACCAGTGTATGACAAGACCAGTATATAAGACCAGTATATGACAAGACCAGTATATGACAAGACCAGTATATGACAAGACCAGTGTATGACAAGACCAGTGTATGACAAGACCAGTGTATGACAAGACCAGTATATGACAAGACCAGTATATGACAAGACCAGTGTATGACAAGACCAGTATATGACAAGACCAGTATATGACAAGACCAGTGTATGACAAGACCAGTATATGACAAGACCAGTGTATGACAAGACCAGTATATGACAAGACCAGTGTATGACAAGACCAGTGTATGACAAGACCAGTATATGACAAGACCAGTATATGACAAGACCAGTGTATGACAAGACCAGTATATGACAAGACCAGTATATGACAAGACCAGTGTATGACAAGACCAGTGTATGACAAGACCAGTATATGACAAGACCAGTATATGACAAGACCAGTGTATGACAAGACCAGTGTATGACAAGACCAGTATATGACAAGACCAGTGTATGACAAGACCAGTGTATGACAAGACCAGTATATGACAAGACCAGTATATGACAAGACCAGTATATGACAAGACCAGTGTATGACAAGACCAGTGTATGACAAGACCAGTATATGACAAGACCAGTATATGACAAGACCAGTGTATGACAAGACCAGTGTATGACAAGACCAGTGTATGACAAGACCAGTGTATGACGCAGTCATCACCAACCACCCAACAAAAACAACAAAATTTGATTAAAAAGAGAAAGAAACAATAAAACTCCCAAGTGCTGTTAACAAGAACTTGGAGAAAAACATCCACATGGTTCTATGTGTCAAATTACAAAAGATACAAACACCAACAAATGGTAAATTTAGTGTCCAGATATCAGTGTGATGGTTGACACTGCTCTGTCTTGATGATGTATGCTATTTCTGGGCTGATCTTGGACAAGGCACAACAGAGATCACTCTCCATATCAAGCTACTGATTTGTTTTCATGACTGTTTAACACTGTATTCTTACCAATGCTCTGCTATCAATGTCAAACATGGACACTGTCTTCAGAAGACAGAAAGACAGAAAGAAAACAGTCACGACAGAATTGAAATGTTTATGTCGCAGCTAGGTGTAACAAGGAAAGATTGGCTTGGATGTGATGATATCAGGAGGAGAATCGGCACAGAACTAATACTGAACTTTATAGATAGACAACAAATCAAATGGTTTGGCCATGTAACAAGATTGGCAGTAGACAGGGTCCCACAGAGAGCAATGCTATACAGATACAGCGGTAACAGACCCAGAGGTCGACCATGTAGAACATGCACCGCAGAAATATCAGAGACACTGAAAAGTTCTATATACAAAGCGAACAGAAGGGTTGGTTCTAGAGATCTCTTCCTCCCCTGAGGCCGCAAGGCATTCCAGGAGTAGAGAAAAGAAGAAGAAGAAGAAGAAGAAGAAGAAGAATAAGAAGAAGAAGAAGAAGAGGAAGAAGAAGAAGAAGAAGAAGAAGAAGAAGAAGAAGGAGAAGAAGAAGAAGAAGAAGAAGAAGAAACAGAAGAAGTAGAAGAAAAAGAAGAAGAAGAAGAAAAAGAACAAGAAGAAGAAGAAAAAGAAGAAGAAAAAGAACAAGAAGAAGAAGAAAAAGAAGAAGAAGAAGAAGAAGAAGAATAAGAAGAAGAAGAAGAAGAGGAAGAAGAGGAAGAAGAAGAAGAAGAAGAAGAAGAAGAAGAAGAAGAAGAAGGAGAAGAAGAAGAAGAAGAAGAAACAGAAGAAGAAGAAGAAACAGAAGAAGAAGAAGAAAAAGAACAAGAAGAAGAAGAAAAAGAAGAAGAAAAAGAAGAAGAAAAAGAAGAAGAAAAAGAAGAAGAAGAAGCCCCTGTGTGGGTTCCGGGGCTCCATTGTGGGGAAAACAAGAATAGACCCACTGCCTCCCCAAAAGCATGTCGTAAGAGTCGACTAATTGGGGAGCTTCCTTTGAAGTCGGAGTGCATCTGCCGGAGAGGCAAGGAACCAACAGTCTGTATTCAAGAGAATAAGATCTGTAAAACTGATGCACACGCAACACTCAGGTTCTGGAGCAGGACTGCAGTTCAGTAGTGGACGAGCAACCAGAACTTCCCGCCAGAGTGTACAGCTGGTGAACGCGAAGAAGAAGAAGAAGAAAAAGAAAAAGAGGAGGAAGAAAAAGATGTTGAAGCTGACAGTTTAGATTATTGCAAGCACAAATAGACTCAGATTCAAAACTGCCCCCTTGAAACTTTCTCATGTCCCCAAGGGGTCGCATCCCCCCCCCCCCTTTCCACCCCCAGGTTGGAGACCAGTATGCTACATGATTAGGCAGAAGTTTTTTGGCAGACCAACAGGACATTTATGTGGACTAACAGGACATTTCTGTGTACCATCAGGACATTTCTGTGGACAATCAGGACATTTATGTGGACCATTGGGACATTTCTGTAGACCATCAGGACATTTCTGTGGACAATCAGGACATTTCTGTGGACCATCAGGACATTTCTGTGGACCATCAGGACATTTTTGTGGACCACCAGGACATTTATATGGACCATCAGGACATTTCTATGGACCATCATGACATTTCTATGGACCATCAGGACATTTCTGTGGACCATCAGGACATTTCTGTGGACCATCAGGACATTTGTGAGGACCATCAGGACATTTGTGAGGACCATCAGTGGTCCTCGAACTATTCCGTGTGGTTTTTGATAAATAAAACGAACTCTAGGACAATCAAAATATTACCGCAACCAAGATGTTGGTATGATCCACTCTTCTCTGTCGACATTTGGCAGCAGCCAGCTTGTTGCGTTCTCTGCGCACTCGTCGCCTTTCTTCTTCTTCCGGTGGTAGCTAGGTAAACAAACAAAAAACAATTTCTTGTGAAATATATAATGTTGCCTTAAAGGTAAATGTAGAGTCGGGAGATGTGAACCAGCGTCATTGCACACGGTTATAAACCATAAGGGCTCTGCCACCAGTACGGACAGCTGATAAGAAACTGTCCGCCTGTGTCGCCGTCCGCACGCAACTCCGTAGCTACATCGACGTTCCTCCATTTACCCCAGAGAGTCAACTCTGGTACCCCTTACCTAGAGGCTGAGTGAACCCCGAGAACCACCCGGTTTCGAACACCGGCCGTGGGCTGCAGCGAGTCGCAGCTTGATTTGAAAGCAAGTCTCCTATCGACTGCGCTTTGCGGTCTAAAAGAAGTGTACTATACTTCTATGCCTATCTGTGGCTTATAGTAATTGTCTGCATGCAACAGCGGTCCAACAGATGTGACAAATACGGCAGGTCCTCACAGAAGTATTTGATGTGGAGCTTCCAATATGATTATGGAATCTAAAATATTCGGCTGGAACCATCAACCTACTGAGTTGAGGGCATGGACAAGGACCATGTTAAAGGGATGAAGGTAGATTATAATGTTGAAAATATGGACTAGATTAATGAGGGAGTGATGGCCGTTTTGTGATGTTCAAGAGAGGGAAGTAGATTTATTAGGGAGAGATGTTGCTTTTAAATTTGAAGAGAGGGAACTAGATTTATGAGGGAGAGATGTTGCTTTTTAAAGTTGAAGAGAGGGAACTAGATTTATGAGGGAGAGACGTTGCTTTTTAAAGTTGAAGAGAGGGAACTAGATTTATGAAGGAGAGATGTAGCTTTTTAAAGTTGAAGAGAGGGAACTAGATTTATGAAGGAGAGATGTAGCTTTTTAAAGTTGAAGAGAGGGAACTAGATTTATGAAGGAGAGATGTAGCTTTTTAAAGTTGAAGAGAGGGAACTAGATTTATGAAGGAGAGATGTAGCTTTTTAAAGTTGAAGAGGGAACTAGATTTATGAGGGAGATATGTTGCTTTTTAAAGTTGAAGAGAGGGACTAGATTTATGAAGGAGAGATGTAGCTTTTTAAAGTTGAAGAGGGGGAACTAGATTTATGAAGGAGAGATGTAGCTTTAATAAGTTGAAGAGAGGGAACTAGATTTATGAAGGAGAGATGTAGCTTTTTAAAGTTGAAGAGGGAACTAGATTTAAGAGGGAGAGATGTTGCTTTTTAAAGTTGAAGAGCGGGAACTAGATTTATGAGGGAGAGATGTTGCTTTTTAAAGTTGAAGAGAGGGAACTAGATTTATGAGGGAGAGATGTTGCTTTTTAAAGTTGAAGAGATGGGAATTTATGAAGACGATCTGGCCTTTATGATGTTGAAGAGATACATTTAAGAGACAGCGGTATATGATGAGTCGGGTGATAATGATGATGGCTCGATGGCATTTGACGGAAGAAATGGAACGAAATGATGACGGCGATGATGACGGCTAACAAGCCGCCGAGAAAAGATGTGATTCCCCATCACCCCCTCCCCCTTTCCCAAATCCAGAGATCATAAGCTCGGTGGTTGGGTCAAGTGCTTGTCTCTTCAGTTTGTCATCCTCGTGTTATGTGGGTTCGTTTTAGAAACAGAAACTAGGCCATGTCTAAAGGTCCTGCTGAGGTCTGAGTCACCCATTGCATGAACTAGCATGGCCATAACAAGCGTTGTATCATTTCCCATTGTCCTCAATCCACCTTTTTCCCCCCATTCTTCTTACGTGCGGCGAATCTTTCCTCGGCGTATGACGTCAGTGACATGCATGTTTGTAATCCGAACATGAAATCTAAATAAATCTTATGATAACACATAACCCTGGTTTTCAAACTAGCGGACGGAGAGGTTTAGTGGCAGTTTTAAAAAACCCGGAGGAGTGGGTATCAAGCAGTTTTGAAATTGAGTACGTTTGTACTTGTAATAATCTTTTATGCTAACGTTTTTAACTCTAATTTTAGATAAACTTTTTGCAAAACTATTTATAAAACTAATCACAGGACCGTTTGTACAGCTGCCATTAAACATTTAAATATAAATATGACCAGTGCATTTTATTATATATATGTTTTTTAATAATATTTCACACTTTGAATTTGTTTGCTGCAAGTTCTTCTTAATACAGTAGTGTTTCCCATTTTATTTATGTCCTCTTTTTAATCAGACATTTATAATGTTGCGGGAAGCACGCATGAGGATTTTGCCAGCTATTCAAGGGATACGCCGGAAAAAAGGCCGGCAACAACTGATATACCAGGTAGCTAGTTTTTTTTTTTTTTTTTTGGGGGGGGGGGGGGGGGAAGCTTTCGGGTAGATGTCACAGGTTCGAATCTCCCGCGACACGGGGATATATTAAACTCTGCCCTGGCCAATAAGGTTTGCCTAAAATGGTACCAGGGGATGATTGGGAAGTTAATATGGTAGCCGAGATACAGACCAAATAACTGGTCGAGTGCCTCTTAAAAGGAACGTATTCCAATTCGGCAGATGTATTGAGTATATGTTACCACAATCGACGTCTTTGCACATTGGGCAATCCCATGCGTGCCGTGCTCAGTCCCCCGATTCAGCAGCCACTCCAAGGTACCTGTAATGATTATTCCTCTGAGAAGTTGGTTACATTATCTGCAGTCTTAACCTCAAGATTTAAATCGCAGGTCATGCAATCGTGTTAGCGTCAGAGATTGACCATTATCCGCTAACACAGTCTGTATAGCAGTGAGGATATCATTGCTATCCCTAACCCCAAACACAGTCTGTATAGCAGTGAGGATATCAACCCTATCCCTAATCCCAACACAGTCTGCATAGCAGTAGGATATCAACGCTATCCCTGCTTCTTTCCGCTTGCACTGGTGCATTACTTGCCAGCTGGTCAGCTCTTCCGTCACTGGTGCATTACTTGCCAGCTGGTCAGCTCTTCCGTCACTGGTACATTACTTGCCAGCTGGTCAGCTCTTCCGTCACTGGTGCATTACTTGCCAGCTGGCCAGCTCTTCCGTCACTGGTGTATTACTTGCCAGCTGGTCAGCTCTTTCGTCACTGGTGCATTACTTTCCAGCTGGTCAGCTCTTCCGTCACAGACCTATAGACACATTCCAAATGATGTGGTCCTTATGCCGTGGGTCGTCTTTACTTCCTATAATATTTCACAGGTTTCATTTTAGCATGAGACTTAGGTACATGTTTAAATATCTTCGCAGATCTGGACTCGATCCTTTTACCACAAGTCAAGTAAAAGTAATGGACTACTTTTCTCGCCTTTAGGCGTATTGGGCATATAGGGTTAGACCTATATTTTATAGGCCAGTCAACATTTGGTGGGTGATGTGGTCAGCATTACTTCTTGGGACTTTTGGGAGGAGATCAGAGCACTGAAGGTCATGTGCGATGAAGGTGATCTTTAAATGAAGAATGAACAATTATAGAAAGACCGACATCTTGTCACAATAATTTTGATAGCCAGAATAAGAAAGCCAGATGTCTTGAATGAGGTTAATATGGGAAGACAGCATATCACTAACAAATACAAGAGGCTGTGGTCATTTGTAGCCATATTACAAGAAGAGAACAACTGGCACATGCTGTGACGACGGGAATAATTAATGAAAAGATTGTTAAAAAAAGACAGTAAACAAAATCTTCACAACCCTTTTAATACAGTATAGAAGTAACCACACGAGCGGATACATGATGTAAGAGTCGAAGTGTAAAGTTCACTGCAACCGGGTCACCCCATTCTTGCGCCGTTCCTGTGCCAGAGAAATCAAATAAAATGTCCCTCATTGTTCCATTTAAAAAACAAATGGTGAACAAGCAATTAGACCCGGCCGAATCCAGAAATATTCGCACAAAGTAAATGCATAAGGCAGTTACTGGAGGCGCCAAAACCAGCAAATGTCACAAGAAATACTGTTTGTCGTTGATAGAAGTAGTTAGTCAAGAGAAGTTGGCTAAACATGTTGTTGTAGATCATAAAATAACAGACCAAATTGCTCCTTCTTCATTTCCTCTGTTTTCTGTAATCACCATTTAATTGGCTGTTGGCACGTTGTCTTTTGTTCATAACTAGGCTGTGAATCTGTGACGCCTGCGTCTTGAGACCCGACACATCCGATTCCAGCAAAACCTCAACACGTCGTATCTTACGGCATGCTTAAGAAGGCTGTGGGTCTACCGCTCTCCCGATCGGTTTCTGTAATTACCATTAAAATGGCGATTGACACGTTGTGTTTTGTTCATAACTAGGCTGTGAATCTGTGACGTCTGCGTCTTGAGACCCGACACATCCGATTCCAGCAAAACTTTAACACGTCGTATCTTACGGCATGCTTAAGAAGGCTGTTGGTCTACCGCTCCCCCGACAGGTACTTCATGACGATGACACTGATAAATTAAAAAAAAACTGGATTATGAAGCAGGGGGAAGGTACTTAACCTACAAAACAAATCGCTCGTTTACTGTTATAGCTTTGTGGTTCTCCTTTCCTGATTACAATAATCTAGTCCACAGGTGGGCCACAAAATAGGAAACTGTTATCTATGTACTTTGTCAAGGCGGAGGGCGCTGCATGGCCACCTTAACCTAAATCTCTCATTCACCAACTTTCCCGCCAGCAGGTTCAGGGGCTGTGAGTCATGGAACATACCACGGCCATGACATCATGTTTGTGACACCCAACTCCTGGCACCGGTTGGTTGGGGCCAACCACAAGAGGCAGGACGTGGGCGAGCGACAGTGGGTGACGGTTTCAAACCCGTTTAATTTCTTTCTCTTTCTGCCTTGAAATAATTTTGTTAATTACATAATTAGGGTTAGAGCTTAATGGCCTAAAGGTTTTAGATTCAAGTCTGCATTAATATAGTAAACTAAAGATCCCTTTTCACGCCTTTGGGTACCTATATGCGTGAGTACCTATATGTTTACAGACCGATCAGCACTAGGTGGGTTATATGGTCAGCATTACACTGGCCGTCTTTACTTCTCCA